CCCCAAAACCCCAAAACCCCAAAACCCCAAAACCCCAAAACCCCAAAACCCCATTTTTATGGGCAATGATTGAATTAAAACTGAAGATAGATGGAGGCTATTCCTGATGCTTGCTTCTCTTGAAGCTACCGGAAGAGTTTATTGTATCATTTGAAGGAGCTTCTCTTACTCCTCCATTCTCATTTACCTGATGGGTGAGCTCTTGTGACTCGGTCATATTTGGAAGTGAATTTTTAGTATCTTTGCTTTGAGTATTTCCAACAACGCTGGTTGAGTCTGAAGCATTTTCAGTAGATGCCGAATTCTGAGCAAGTTTTTTATTAAATTCTTCATCTTCCTTAGCTTTCTCCTTTGCTGCTTCTTCATCTTCTTTCTCGAATAAATCTGAGTTGATATCTTCATATTTTCCTCCGAAATTTGTCTCCTTCTCAATATAATCTGCAGCTTTGTTAACTACAAGCTTCCATTCTCGCTCATAGCTTGGGAATAGAGTCTTGACTCTATTAATTCCGATCCAAGTGTACATAATTTTGAGTTGTTCTTCTTTATCTCCAGCATTCTTAACATTTTCAGGAGTGTGTTCTGTGTAATAAATAGATTTAAGTACTTCTTCTTCAGTTTTGTCACATTCTTGCAAAATTTGTTCATCCCAAGAGCCATCAACTTTCTGAATATTGACGTAGTTTTTATAATGAGGGTAATAGAATTCAACTTTAACACCAGATTCTATGCCAACCTTCCTGATTTCTGTTTCTCTGCTGGGATTGATTCTTCTTCCATTGATGAAGACCTTAATCTTTCCTTCATTTACATAAAACATTCTAGCAATTTGGCTGAGCAGTTCCCCAAACTTGAGCGTATCATAATCACACTCAACATTATTCTCTATCTTAGTGATCATATTTTTGATGGTGAGGCCACCTCCAGCTCTAAGACTGAGAACCAGATGAAGTACACTTCCGTTTGTGATGAAATATTCACTGAGAGTAATGCTATCTTCTAGTTGTTTCCCACCAAAAATAAGTCTTTGTTGATCCGCAGGAACTTTTACTGTAACAAAGATAATTTCTTTGACTTCGTGGATGGTTTCGCTGTTGAGCATGTCGATATTTATGGACTTTCCGGTGAGTGTTTTGACTTCAAATTGAACTCTTTTGTTCGGGATATCAGATTTAACGTTTTTGTATTCTATTCCGCTTTTACTGACTAATTTCTTGGAAGCTGTAATAAAATTATTAGAATTAAAAAATTCAAGGCAAAATTCAAAGCAGAAAATGGGAATCTGTCATCTTACTTACCAATAAATGATGTGAATCTGCTAGGGATTTGATATTTGATTGATAATTTAGCAACCAAATCGATGTTGTCCATATTTCTTTGGAGATCTATATTATGGTGTTTGCAAAACATTTTGAAGATGAAATCCCCAGGTATCAACTTGACATCCTCTTTGAGATCTACCAACAGCTTCTTAGCTTTTGTATCTTCAATATTTCTGGTATGTAATGATAAGGATCCTTTTAGTTCATCACCATCTACTCCATTAACGATTCAGAAATAGGTAAAATACTCTCCATGATACATTCTCGAGTTCAAATTTTCTAAAGGAGGCTGCTCAAAAAGCTTGTCTCCATTTGCAGCTAGATCTTTCTTTTGGATTATAAGCTTAGTTTGGAAGCATTTACAGAGAGCATCAATTACAGACCTCTCAAGTCCTGAAGTTGGATTCTTCACAAAGTAATGCTTTCCTTTGCCAGCTCTCGCTCATTCAGTGATGAGTTGAGTACTTACTCCATTTCCAATGCCAAATGTGTGCACAGTAAAATTACCTGAATTATTTTCTATTAGTTCGACACATTGCTCGGGATCAAACACAGCTCCATCTGTCAGAAGAAAGACATGCTTGGTGAGACCATTTGAATCGTCTCTGTCAGCAAAGATAGAGTGAAGAGGATCAAAAATCTCAGTTCCTCCTAGATCGGCTTTGAAATCTTTTATAATCTCACAAGCTTTGTTCATAGTTTCTTGGTTATACTCGACAGTTCCTTCAAAGATTGATTCAAAGGTTGATCCGAAAGAGACCACATCAAACCTAGATCTTAGAGGGAGGCTATGCAGGAAAAGAAGCAGTGCTTCTTTAGCAGTCTCTATCGAGTCACCTTCCATTGAGTAACTTCTATCCAGAACAAAAGTAAACTCAGCAGACACCATAGTATTTTTGATTTCTTTCTGATATTTTATTTTTGGGTCTAAATCGATGTATTCATAAATTTGATCTTTCCTTTGTTCAAGTTCTTCTTTTGAAGTAAGATCAACGAGCATTGAGACCATTAGAGCATATTCATCATTTTTCTTTTGCATTAGAATCATGGGAGTATTGATATCTTCGCTTCTATATAGCAGGACAAAGTCTTTGTCAAAGAACGAGTCAAGGCCAGGCTCACAAAGCTGAACGCAAACATTAGTTTGCGTATCATCAGAAAATTCTGTCTTGATATCATGACTAGGACTAATGAGTCTACGAATTGGAGATTGTGAGCTGATGTTAACACAGATCGTCCAATTGAAAGAATTAGAGTTGTAGTAGCCAGATATTTCTTCTTCAATATCTTCTTGCCTTTGTTCTGAAGTATCATTATGCATACTTTTAACCATTCCTTTGAGGTGCTTTCCAGTTTTGACATATGTATCTAAATCACCCATGTATCTTGGAATGATTTTGCTGGGAATGTGAAGTTTCCAGCTGAGGTCCTCTATATCCAATAAGATACTGTGTGAATTGTAAACTTACCGACTTCCATGACTTGATGAAAGTATCAAGTGATTATGATCTGGCTTTTGGGTGGCAAATTTCCCATTTGAATTCTAAAAGTTATCCGTTTCCATTACCTAATCATATCCTTTGACTTTCTACATGGGTGGGCAATAAATGCAGTGTCTCCTTTGGCAATAGCATCATCATATTCAGCCTTGGCTCTTTCTCTTGATTTGATAGTTGAGACAATCAGTTGGTCTTCGAATCTTGCCTCAAGTCCGGTGAAAGTGCAATCATTGTGAACTGGAAAGACATACTCAGTCTCTATAAAATCTGTTGCATCATTGTAGTAATACTGCACGAACTTGATCTCAGCAATGCTGTTGTTGATGGTCACTATGTTCTCAACATAATACAGAGGCACAGGGTCTTTGGTAAGATAGTTAATCAAGAATTGGGTATCTTTTTCAGTTGGAAAGATGTTGTTCAGAGGTTCAAGAGCTTCCATCTAATTAATTACAATTTAATTCTTGACTAAGTTCATCCTTATATTTGGCAAATGGGGTTTTGGGGTTTTGGGGTTTTGGGGTTTTGGGG